GCTATGGGGCCCTGTGATTTCTAGTTACGCCCCCTGCGTGTGCGCATGTATCACTTTCTGGCAGTGAAGGGGTTCAATGATCGAACTTCTTTGCTGTTTCCTTCCACGTGATCCTCCAACCTGAGGAACACTCCGGGCGTGTGATCGGAGCCTCGCACCTCACCCCTCGCACCTCGCACCTCACCCCTCGCACCTCACCCCTCGCACACTGCTCTTTGCCTTTGTAAATTAATGACGGCGGTCTTATCAGGACAGTCTGGTTTATGGCCGCACCACGCCTGAGCCCGCTGACATCATCCCCACAGCACCATGATATCTGTATTTTATGTATATTACGTCTGGAGGGATATACCGGAACACAATCCAACATTGATCAACAGCAGCAAAGAGGAACTCCCGTGTTCTATCAAAGATTGTGACCGCGTTGGAATGTGTGAACGGCGACGTGGTCGCACATTTTAACGTGATCTCGCCCAGTTTTCCGGCGGTGGAATAGGTGACCGCCAAAAGGTGAAGAATTCCAACACTTTCTCAGCTGTTCCAGGGCAGATCGGTTCTCCTGCACATACCATCTGCGATGCCGATCAGCTGAGAAAGCGTTAGAATTCTTCACCTTTTGCCGAAAAACTGGGCGGGATCACGTTAAAATGTGCGACGACGTCACCGGTCACACATTCTAACGCAGTCACAAACTTTGATAGAACTCCGGGCATATGAAATCTTAACTCTTGCAGTGGGGCATGTCTGTGATTAGGGGCTTATTGCCAAGAACACCAACCCAATACCAGACATCCCAACCTGCAAAACCTTATTTCAGGGAGGTTCCCGTCTCATTTCAGGGAGGTGCCCTTTCTGTATTATTTATTAGACAGCCTGAGACCTTTTTAAAAAAACACTGAGGAGTAAAGTCTCTGATACACAGCTGACCAGTTGCTGCAAATTAAATAAATGTTCTCTATAACTAGACAACCAGCACATATAATTAATTCTATATTATCCACAAAGGGTTAACAGCACTCTCTCAACCCTGCAGCAGTACATCTCAGTGCCTGTGCCTGCTCTCAATAGTAGTCTATGTCCGCCCTCTCCGTGCAGCAAGTGGCTTCTTCCTTCCGAGAGCCAAGTCTCGTTCTGAGGCTACTCGAGAGATCACATGACCTTCCTCCAGGAGGCAAGCCTCACTCTGAGACTTTACCCACTGATATCTTACCGGAAAGGTTTACTCAGAGTAAACGTTTCAGGGAGAAAATGCCTCTCTCGCGGACATCAGGGAGCTGCTGTCCAAAAGAGGGAGACTCCCTGAACATCAGGGAGACTTGAGATCCCTGCAATACTGTGACATTGATTTACATTGTAACAGAGACAAATCTCTTCTTAGCGACAAATCTCTTCTTAGCGACAGTTCTCTTCTTAGCGACAGATCTCTTCTTAGAGACAAATCTCTTCTTAGCGACAGTTCTCTTCTTAGCGACAGATCTCTTCTTAGAGACAAATCTCTTCTTAGCGACAGTTCTCTTCTTAGCAACAGATCTCTTCTTAGCGACAGATCTCTTCTTAGCGACAGATCGTTTCTTAGCGACAAATCTCTTCTTAGCGACAAATCTCTTCTTAGCAACAGATGTCTTCTTAGCAACAGATGTCTTCTTAGCGACAGATGTCTTCTTAGCAACAGATCTCTTCTTCGAGACAAATTTCTTCTTAGCGACAGACCTCTTCTTAGCGACAGATCTCTTCTTAGCGACAGACCTCTTCTTAGCGACAGACCTCTTCTTAGCGACAGACCTCTTCTTAGCGACAGACCTCTTCTTAGCGACAGATCTCTTCTTAGCGACAGACCTCTTCTTGGCGACAGACCTCTTCTTAGCGACAGACCTCTTCTTAGCGACAGATCTCTTCTTAGCGACAGATCTCTTCTTGGAGACAGATCTTTTCTTAGCAACAGATCCCTTCTTAGCAACAAATCTCTTCTTAGCGACAGATCTCTTCTTAGCAACAAATCTCTTCTTAGCGACAGATCACCAGCAACTTTAACCATTTAGACCCCCGTTCACACCACAGCATACTAGTATATTTGTGCGCATTCACTTACGTTTTTCCCGCACTTGCCGTGCGTCGCTCATCGATTTCAATAGATGCCACATGCGTGACAAACGCGGGAAAGTTGCTTATGTAGCAGATTCTGCTGCAGACATTTTCTCGCGCGTTTGTGTGCGTTTAACGTGCGTGCACACGTGAGAAAATCGCTAATTTTCCTGGCCGTGTTTGGGGAGTCATTATCAAGTAATGGCACCACAAGCGCAACGCACGTTTTTGCCACATTCTGTGAATGCGCGTTAAAGCACATGCATGACGCAGGCCTGGCGCGCCTTCACAAAACGCGTGTGAATGGGGGCTTACAAAGCGCCGGATACAGAGCGCCGAATCTGCGGAATGATCGATTTGTACAATTGGTTACATTGTGAATGTGATACTTTGTAGCCGGGCGGTGATCCTCCCGCACAGACAATGGCATTGTGTGTGTGCGCGGCTCGGGGAATTTATTGGAAGGAATACGAGTTGCGTCTCCCCGGCGACCATTGTTCCCGCTCTCTGTGGGTCTGTTCCGGGTTTCCCCGGCAACTCTGTTGTTGATATTGAAAGTTCCACAAGACTTTTCAGTCAATGGGAAGGACCGGCCGGGGAGTGCTGCTCATTCATGGCGGGGCCGAGTGCTCGGAGCCCGCGGGGGGCCCCTTCGCTGCTGCCAGATATTCGCCATCCTGCCCTCCTCCTGGGGGACCCGGGGACCCTTTCCGTGCGGGGGCTCTCCCGAGCCGCAGGAAAAGAGGACCTGTCTGCTTCCTCGCGAGGTTCCGGCAGGAGGACCGCGCCACGTGACAACCTGAGAAACTACGGGGGCGATCACCTGGACAGCTGGCGGAACCTGGACCGATGGGCCAACATTGGTAAATGGGGGGGCATCAGATCCTTACCGCAATGTGACAACGTAGCTCTAGGCAAAACTTGACGTGTTTATGTCTGTGTCCCCTCTGGATAGCTCACTTCCTGTCCTGGTGACACCGGTACAAGGAATAGAAGGAGCCACTGTCACCTGAACAGGAAGTCACAGACAGAAATTAATACATTATCAGAAGTTCTAACCTTTCCTCATTCTGCTAAAGATGTGTTTATGTCTGTGTCCCCTCTGGATAGCTAACTTCCTGTCCTGGTGACACCGGCACAAGAAATAAAAGGAGCCGCTGCCACCTGAATAGGAAGTCACGGACAGAAATTGATACATTATCAAAACTTTTTCTCATTCTACTAAAGACGTTTTTATGTCTGTGTCCCCATTAAAGAGATTACTCATCACTTCCTGTCCTGACAGGAAGTGAAAGGGAAACCTCTCTCAATCGAAATCTTAATGGCAATACAAATACATTTTATTGGGGGAGGGGCTAGAACCTCTGTTAGCTTTTCATTGCTGTCTTTGTCTGTGTCCCCATTTGGAGATTTCCCCTCACTTCCTGCTGCAGTGACAATGTTGTCACCAGGACAGGAAGTCAGGATATATTTCCTCACAAAAGAAAAATCTAAAAACCTATAAAAGGTTCAAACTCCCCCCACCCCCCCCTTTATCCAAAAAAGCTCTGTGTTCATTCATACGTTATTGAATGTGTTTTACCTGAACCTGACCTGGTATCAGCCTATCGCAGTCCCTGTACAGCAGAGCTCAGACTGGAGGGTGGAGAAGCAGCACAAGGAGCCAAGGAGCATGCAGATAGGAGAAGAGAGCAAAGTGACAGAGACATAAACTCACTGTGGTGCTGCTTCTCCCTTCACTGTCCAGTCACAGGCTGGGGAGGGGCGGATCCAGGATGAGCTGGGCTCAGGGGAAGTGGGTCAGATAATGCCGACCATCAGACCGAGGACATCTAGTGCCAGGAAAAAAGTACTGCGGGTGGAAGTCTCTGGATCGAAGGTGAACTGCAAAAGAGCAAATAGGCCATTCTCCGCCCGATCGTATCTGAAGGATTAATCTGATAGGACGGCCGTCTCATGTGACCCATCCGCTCTAAGAAGCCTGAGGAACCGAGGTCTCATTGTACCCGAGCAACCCAATGCCGGCTATTCAGTCCACTAAACCCCTCTGTAGTGTCAGTCAGCGCCTCATAATGTCTGATGGCCGAGCTCCAGACACACAGCTGAATGCACACCCAAGGAGTTATAGTCAAGTCCATCCAGTCCTGAGATTTACACAGCTCCGCCACACAGCACAGCCCTGTCTGGCAGGGGAGGAGAGTTGACTTTCTCCTGCTGCAGTTAAATAATACAGCCTGGTCACCTTCCCGCCCCCCGGCGTGTGATTGGACGCTGAAGCAGTTAGAGACTGCTGAGCTCTTCTCTCTGTGTTCTCTCCTACTCTCAGCATGTTCCCAGCACATAGGACATCTGATTGATACCAGTGTTGCCCCTCCCCTTTCCTTTCAAGTTATCCCACCCACAGTCTGCCTCTGGCCCGCCCAGTGCTAGGGTCTCAGGAAATTTGGGGAGGGTCTCAGGAGGGGGAGATGTGCTGAGGGTCTCAGGAGGGGGAGATGTGCGCGGGGTCTCAGGAGGAGGAGATGTGCGGAGGGTCTCAGGAGGCGGAGATGTGCGGGTGGTCTCAGGAGGAGATGTGCGGAGGGACTCAGGAGGGGGAGATGTGTGGGGGGTCTCAGGAGGAGATGTGCGGAGGGACTCAGGAGGGGGAGATGTGTGGGGGGTCTCAGGAGGAGATGTGCGGAGGGACTCAGGAGGGGGAGATGTGTGGGGGGTCTCAGGAGGAGATGTGCGGAGGGACTCAGGAGGGGGAGATGTGTGGGGGGTCTCAGGAGGAGATGTGCGGAGGGACTCAGGAGGGGGAGATGTGTGGGGGGTCTCAGGAGGAGATGTGCGGAGGGACTCAGGAGGGGGAGATGTGTGGGGGGTCTCAGGAGGAGATGTGCGGAGGGACTCAGGAGGGGGAGATGTGTGGGGGGTCTCAGGAGGAGATGTGCGGAGGGACTCAGGAGGGGGAGATGTGTGGGGGGTCTCAGGAGGAGATGTGCGGAGGGACTCAGGAGGGGGAGATGTGTGGGGGGTCTCAGGAGGAGATGTGCGGAGGGACTCAGGAGGGGGAGATGTGTGGGGGGTCTCAGGAGGAGATGTGCGGAGGGACTCAGGAGGGGGAGATGTGTGGGGGGTCTCAGGAGGAGATGTGCGGAGGGACTCAGGAGGGGGAGATGTGTGGGGGGTCTCAGGAGGAGATGTGCGGAGGGACTCAGGAGGGGGAGATGTGTGGGGGGTCTCAGGAGGAGATGTGCGGAGGGACTCAGGAGGGGGAGATGTGTGGGGGGTCTCAGGAGGAGATGTGCGGAGGGACTCAGGAGGGGGAGATGTGTGGGGGGTCTCAGGAGGAGATGTGCGGAGGGACTCAGGAGGGGGAGATGTGTGGGGGGTCTCAGGAGGAGATGTGCGGAGGGACTCAGGAGGGGGAGATGTGTGGGGGGTCTCAGGAGGAGATGTGCGGAGGGACTCAGGAGGGGGAGATGTGTGGGGGGTCTCAGGAGGAGATGTGCGGAGGGACTCAGGAGGGGGAGATGTGTGGGGGGTCTCAGGAGGAGATGTGCGGAGGGACTCAGGAGGGGGAGATGTGTGGGGGGTCTCAGGAGGAGATGTGCGGAGGGACTCAGGAGGGGGAGATGTGTGGGGGGTCTCAGGAGGAGATGTGCGGAGGGACTCAGGAGGGGGAGATGTGTGGGGGGTCTCAGGAGGAGATGTGCGGAGGGACTCAGGAGGGGGAGATGTGTGGGGGGTCTCAGGAGGAGATGTGCGGAGGGACTCAGGAGGGGGAGATGTGTGGGGGGTCTCAGGAGGAGATGTGCGGAGGGACTCAGGAGGGGGAGATGTGTGGGGGGTCTCAGGAGGAGATGTGCGGAGGGACTCAGGAGGGGGAGATGTGTGGGGGGTCTCAGGAGGAGATGTGCGGAGGGACTCAGGAGGGGGAGATGTGTGGGGGGTCTCAGGAGGAGATGTGCGGAGGGACTCAGGAGGGGGAGATGTGTGGGGGGTCTCAGGAGGAGATGTGCGGAGGGACTCAGGAGGGGGAGATGTGTGGGGGGTCTCAGGAGGAGATGTGCGGAGGGACTCAGGAGGGGGAGATGTGTGGGGGGTCTCAGGAGGAGATGTGCGGAGGGACTCAGGAGGGGGAGATGTGTGGGGGGTCTCAGGAGGAGATGTGCGGAGGGACTCAGGAGGGGGAGATGTGTGGGGGGTCTCAGGAGGAGATGTGCGGAGGGACTCAGGAGGGGGAGATGTGTGGGGGGTCTCAGGAGGAGATGTGCGGAGGGACTCAGGAGGGGGAGATGTGTGGGGGGTCTCAGGAGGAGATGTGCGGAGGGACTCAGGAGGGGGAGATGTGTGGGGGGTCTCAGGAGGAGATGTGCGGAGGGACTCAGGAGGGGGAGATGTGTGGGGGGTCTCAGGAGGAGATGTGCGGAGGGACTCAGGAGGGGGAGATGTGTGGGGGGTCTCAGGAGGAGATGTGCGGAGGGACTCAGGAGGGGGAGATGTGTGGGGGGTCTCAGGAGGAGATGTGCGGAGGGACTCAGGAGGGGGAGATGTGTGGGGGGTCTCAGGAGGAGATGTGCGGAGGGACTCAGGAGGGGGAGATGTGTGGGGGGTCTCAGGAGGAGATGTGCGGAGGGACTCAGGAGGGGGAGATGTGTGGGGGGTCTCAGGAGGAGATGTGCGGAGGGACTCAGGAGGGGGAGATGTGTGGGGGGTCTCAGGAGGAGATGTGCGGAGGGACTCAGGAGGGGGAGATGTGTGGGGGGTCTCAGGAGGAGATGTGCGGAGGGACTCAGGAGGGGGAGATGTGTGGGGGGTCTCAGGAGGAGATGTGCGGAGGGACTCAGGAGGGGGAGATGTGTGGGGGGTCTCAGGAGGAGATGTGCGGAGGGACTCAGGAGGGGGAGATGTGTGGGGGGTCTCAGGAGGAGATGTGCGGAGGGACTCAGGAGGGGGAGATGTGTGGGGGGTCTCAGGAGGAGATGTGCGGAGGGACTCAGGAGGGGGAGATGTGTGGGGGGTCTCAGGAGGAGATGTGCGGAGGGACTCAGGAGGGGGAGATGTGTGGGGGGTCTCAGGAGGAGATGTGCGGAGGGACTCAGGAGGGGGAGATGTGTGGGGGGTCTCAGGAGGAGATGTGCGGAGGGACTCAGGAGGGGGAGATGTGTGGGGGGTCTCAGGAGGAGATGTGCGGAGGGACTCAGGAGGGGGAGATGTGTGGGGGGTCTCAGGAGGAGATGTGCGGAGGGACTCAGGAGGGGGAGATGTGTGGGGGGTCTCAGGAGGAGATGTGCGGAGGGACTCAGGAGGGGGAGATGTGTGGGGGGTCTCAGGAGGAGATGTGCGGAGGGACTCAGGAGGGGGAGATGTGTGGGGGGTCTCAGGAGGAGATGTGCGGAGGGACTCAGGAGGGGGAGATGTGTGGGGGGTCTCAGGAGGAGATGTGCGGAGGGACTCAGGAGGGGGAGATGTGTGGGGGGTCTCAGGAGGAGATGTGCGGAGGGACTCAGGAGGGGGAGATGTGTGGGGGGTCTCAGGAGGAGATGTGCGGAGGGACTCAGGAGGGGGAGATGTGTGGGGGGTCTCAGGAGGAGATGTGCGGAGGGACTCAGGAGGGGGAGATGTGTGGGGGGTCTCAGGAGGAGATGTGCGGAGGGACTCAGGAGGGGGAGATGTGTGGGGGGTCTCAGGAGGAGATGTGCGGAGGGACTCAGGAGGGGGAGATGTGTGGGGGGTCTCAGGAGGAGATGTGCGGAGGGACTCAGGAGGGGGAGATGTGTGGGGGGTCTCAGGAGGAGATGTGCGGAGGGACTCAGGAGGGGGAGATGTGTGGGGGGTCTCAGGAGGAGATGTGCGGAGGGACTCAGGAGGGGGAGATGTGTGGGGGGTCTCAGGAGGAGATGTGCGGAGGGACTCAGGAGGGGGAGATGTGTGGGGGGTCTCAGGAGGAGATGTGCGGAGGGACTCAGGAGGGGGAGATGTGTGGGGGGTCTCAGGAGGAGATGTGCGGAGGGACTCAGGAGGGGGAGATGTGTGGGGGGTCTCAGGAGGAGATGTGCGGAGGGACTCAGGAGGGGGAGATGTGTGGGGGGTCTCAGGAGGAGATGTGCGGAGGGTCTCAGGAGGAGGAGCGTTGCACACTTACTCCTCCCTTCTCCCCATGTGATGATCTTTTCCCCCCAGACAGGACATTCTCGGAGCGACACACAAATGAGAAGAAGGAAGACTCCTCGGCCTCTCCCTCCACTCGGCTAGAAACTGAAAAGGTAACTGAGACTTTACTATAACCCCCAACATCCTCCGCTGCAAATTTCCTGATTGTGAGAATCCAAAAAAGAAATCTAAGACGTGAGAGTGCCAACTGATGGGAGAGATCACTCACCACTCCCCCTTCATCAGGGCTTGTAGTGGCAGAATACCGGACCTGGAAGCAGGCAGGGGTTCTTAAAGTTCCGTGTAGGAACCTGAATGTGACCCGGTATCAGCCTCTTTCAGTCCCTGTACAGCAGAGATCAGACTCGTAGAGGGAGAAGCAAGATAATGCGTTGTGCTGACTAGAAGCATGCTGATGGGGTAGAGAGCAGAGTGACAGAGAGATGAGCTTATCGCTGCGCTGCTTCTCCCTTCACCATCCAGTCACAGGGCAGGGTGACCTGGGCTCTGAGGACATCTAGTGGCAGATAAAAGTACTGCGGGGGGAGGGGGGATCTCCAGATTGAGGTTGGATTTTGCAGCAATCGCCGGGTTCATGTTATCATATAATAGGCTGTTTCTTTGTATGTTGTCATTCGTAGCTGGCGTTCTGCTCTGAGTCAGGATGCTGGGAGTAGTAGTAGTCACATTGTCTCTTGGCTCTGCTTTGCAGCTCAGATTCCGTCTGCTGGAGAAGATAAACGGCGGCGGATTCTATGACCTGAAAAGGCAATTCTTGTCCCACGACCCAGAATGCCGAGGGAGAGTGACCAGGTATTTATAGTCCACGCCATCTGGACCAAGCTGACCACGCGGCACATTCCCGGCCCGGAGATACTAAATATAACAATCCCCAATACCTGGGCAGGAGAGCTGACACTTCACATTGGGTACTAAACCCCCAAAGGCCCGTCTACTTCTGTGTGTGTAAAAGTGGACCTGTCATTCCGTATATATGTGTGTGCAGCGTGCTGAGTAATGTGTCATGTGACCCCCCTTCTAGGTATTTATTTCCTCTCACAGAGATCACATGATTCCCCCTGACAATGCCTTCATCTGCTTTCCTCTCCAGAAGGACGGCACCATCTACTTCCTGGACTGAGATACCGGGGGACTGATCACTGGGGGAGGGGAGACTGAGCAAATGCTTCCTCATGCCTGCAGCAAACCGATCACTGGGGGAGGGGAGAGTGAGGAAATGCTTACTCCTGCCTGCAGCAGACTGATCACTGAGGGAGGGGAGATTGAGGAAATGCTTACTCCTGCCTGCAGCAGACTGATCACTGGGGGAGGGGAGACTGAGCAAATGCTTCCTCCTGCCTGCAGCAGTCCGATCACTGGGGGAGGCGAGACTGAGGAAATGCTTCCTCCTGCCTGCAGCAGTCCGATCACTGGGGGAGGGGAGAGTGAGGAAATGCTTACTCCTGCCTGCAGCAGACTGATCACTGGGGGAGGCGAGACTGAGGAAATGCTTCCTCCTGCCTGCAGCAGTCTGATCACTGGGGGAGGCGAGACTGAGGAAATGCTTCCTCCTGCCTGCAGCAGTCTGATGACTGGGGGAGGCGAGACTGAGGAAATGTTTCCTCCTGCCTGCAGCAGTCTGATCACTCGGGGAGGGGAGACTGAGGAAATGCTTCCTCCTGCCCACAGCAGACTGATCACTGGGGGTGGGGGTAGAGACTGAGGAAATGCTTCTTCTTGCCTGCAGCAGACAGATGACATAATTTCCACCTGCCCAAAGTCCCTGACTGGAGCTCATGGACGGCCTTTTTACCGATATAAGTCGGATGTTTTCTGATACTGTTGCTGTTCATCTCGACATTACAGGAATTTACATAATGACATGTCCTCTTTGATCTCCAGTCCGGTGAGTAAGTCCCTGTAGGAGGTAATAAATACCTGCAAGGCACTAAATATGAAGACACATATGTGGCTCTAGGGCAGGCCGGGGTAGACGAACTCGTGGCCTCCAGCCCTAATGAAACTACAAATCCCACCATGCATCTGCCTGGGAGAGCCATGTCAGAGTCTTGTGTTGCCTTCTGGGACTTGTAGTTCCACAACAGCTGGAGGGCTGAAGTTTAGCTTCTCCTGTTCTATGGGGATACATTAATAACAATTCCCATTGACGCAGCACAGCGCCCCCTAGATGGCGAGCACAGGAAAATCCTATCAGCGCCATCTAGAGGTGCCAGTGCCATGCCAAGGGCATTGTTAAAGGAGAACTATGGGGTCAGTGTTTTTCCCCGTAGTTCTCCTCAGGGTCACGGTAGGACATATACTAGCCTCCTCCCGTCACCCAAAGCTCATTATATAGCGGGCTACAGCTCCCTATATACTGAGACCGCCGCAGCCGGGACGGATCCCGACAATGCTGTAGAGATCCGCCCAGCTGCGTGGGTGACAGCTGTACCCTCTCCCGTCCGTTCCGCCAGTCAGCGTTGGAGGATCAGACAGGAGCGGGGAAGGGGGGAATCCCTGCAGGGAGCCGTGAGTGACAGTCACGGCTCTCTGCAGGGAGATGATCGAGAAGTGAGCGAATGCCGGTATGTGTTCGCTCACCTCCCGATCTACTGAGCCGACCTGTGACAGTCTCATTGTCACAGGTCGGCTAGAACTATGAGGCTGAGTGACAATCACTCACCCCATAGTTCTCCTTTAAGGGACCCCCCTTGGTCTGCTTCAATGAAGTACTTCGAACGGCTTTGATCATGTGCAGCCGCTGCGTGTCTACTGCGGGTCTCTCTCCTATCTTATCCTTATCATGGAAGGTTATGTCTCTCTCTCTCTAGGGATGCTCTGCTGGTGATCCTGACTACGTTCCTCGGCCGGTTTATTAGCAGAATTCAGTTTCAGCATCTCCTCAGCAGGTAAAATATCATCATATTACTGCGCAATGTCCCCGGACATTTGTATCTAACCCCGCTCCCTCCTCCAATGAACATTTCCCATCCCCATGCCTCTTGCTGGGGTTATAATAAACATTCCACCTGGGAGAGATCTCATGCTCGGCTGTCATGGACACCTCAGTTTCCCAGTCCGAGAAGTTCGGCTACAACGTAGCGATCACAAGCAGACTTCAATGTGAATAATAAAACGTTTAATGGTCTGTTTAACACTGTGGTCGTCAGAGGCAATTACAGTATAAAAAAAAAATAGTAATACAGTCATTAGAAAAATAGATTTTTTTTGTTTGTTACATTTACACGTGTCAGGTTGTTGTAACAAAAAAAAGCATAAAATGTATCAATCCAGGTATGCAAATTAGGCGAAGAGTTATTGTTAAGTTAACCGACACATTTGGCCTGGTCGTCTAGGTATCAGTGAGCTCAGGGAATGGGGTTAAAATGTAAGTAACATAGACAGCAATAAAAACCTTTCAGGAGTTCTAACACATACAAGCCAGCTGTCCCATGTTTGGCGAGACAGTCCTGCATCTTGGTCCTCTCTCCCACCGATGCCATGTCCCAGGCCAAGTACCAGGATCGAAGCATCAACCTAATTTGCACATGCACAGTACCTTAAAAAGGCATTCATTGCAGGAAACAAAGCCAGAAGTGGGTTGTCCCTGCATATTTAGAGGTGGGGTCTGGGTGGGATCAACCCATAAAGTAGGCAGGATGGGGGTTCACACCTATATACGTGGTTTTGGTGGGACCAATCCATAAAGTGGGTGTGATGGGCAGTCCATGCATATTTAGAGGCAGGGTCTGGGTGGGATCAACCCATAACTTAGGCATGATGGAAGGGCCACATACATTTAGAGGGAGGATCTGAACCAACCCATAAAGTGTGAGGGATAGGTTGTCTATGGATATTTAAAGGTGGGGTCTGGGCTGGACCAACCCATAAAGTGTGCGGGATGGGTTGTCTACGCATATTTAAAGGTGGGGTCTGGGCTGGACCAACCCATAAAGTGGGCGTCATGGGGGTTCACACCTATTTACAGGTGGGGTTTTGGTGGGACCAATCCATAAAGTGGGTGTGATGGGCAGTCCATGCATATTTAGAGGCAGAATCTGGGTGGGATCAACCCATAAAGTGGGTGGGATGGGTTGTCTATGCATACTTAGAGGCGAGGTATAGGTGGGATCAACCCATAAAGTAGGCGTGATGGGGGTCTACACCTACTTAGAGGTGGGGTTTTGGTGGGACCAGTCCATGAAGTGGGTGTGATGGGCAGTCCATGCATGTTTAGAGGCAGGGACCGGGTGCGATCAACCCTTAACTTAGGCATGATGGAAGCTCCACATATATTTAGAGGGAGGATCTGGACTGGACCAATCCATAGAAGTGGGCAGGATAGGTTGTCCATGCATATTTAGAGGTGGGGTATATTGGGGGATCAGCCCATAAAGTGGGCGTGATGGGGGTTCATGCCTATTGTCCAGGGTCCAGGTAGGATCAACCCATAACTTAGGCATGATAAACGCTCTACACATATTTAGAGGGGGGATCTGGACTGAACCAACTAATAAAGTGGGCAGGATGTGTTGTCCATACATACTTAGGTGGAGTATGGGTGTGACCAACCCATAAAGTGAGTGTGATGATGGGTGGTCTACATATATTTAGAGGTAGGGTCTGGGCAGGACCAACCCATAAAATGGGCGTGATGGGGGTTCACACCTATGTACAGGTGGGGTTTTGGTGGGACCAGTCCATGAAGTGGGTGTGATGGGCAGTCCATGCATATTTAGAGGCAGGGTCTGGGTGGGATCAACCCATAACTTAGGCATGATGGAAGGGCCACATATATTTAGAGGGAGGATCTGGGCTGGACCAATCCATAAAAGTGAGTGGGATGGGTTGTTTACGCATATTTAGAGGTGGGATATAGGTGGGATCATACCTAGGGGGGGGGGATCTGGACCAATCCATAAAGTAGGCAGAATGTAACTTTTTAGTTTAGTAAAGAGTAAGGAAAGAGTAGGGAACGCTTGTTACTAAGAGTGACTAAGTCTCCATCTACAGTAGAGTGAGTCCCTATGCTTCAGGCTAGGTCTATCTTCAGCTCTGCTTGCTCCGTATCTAGTAATTCTGTCCCCCCCACCCCTGGCCCAGGTCCGTGGGACCTACTACATCTTACCTTCTACATCTCACGGGGTATAACTCTAACTATGGTGACCACACATACATATGACACCGCACATCGCTAAGTCCCACCCATCTGCTCTGCCAAAATGCAAATGAGCTCCCTCCTCTGTATGATTTTCTGCAGGTTACGTCTGGATGAGAAACCCATCGTCACGTTTGACTCGTTCTACGATCACTTCAAGCTGGAAGAGAATACAAACCCTCCAGACTGGCTGGACCCCATGAAGAGGAAACAGAAAGCAGCTGTGAAGACCGCCCACGAGGTTCACCTGGAGCTCAGGGACATGGCCAATAACAGGTGACAAGGAGGCTCATGCGATGTGTCTGTGAAGGTTCTTATGTATCCAGGTCAGGGTATAGCTAGTAATAGTCACATTTAGCTGGACTTGTTCTGTAATGTTGGGCAGATAGGAGAGTAGAAGGGTCACAAGAGGTGCGAAAGAGCCCATCTACGTCCATCTGGAACAACCGTCATCAAGCCGGGTCATCAAGGTCCGGGAACGATGAATGGAAGGTACTACAAGTCCCATCTGCCACCGCAGCAGAAGGACTTAGCAGTACGTGCTAGCAGCAGGGTGAGGTCACCACAATTGTAGCCCCGCCCACGTCCTCCAGCCCCCTAGGATAATGTCACTAGCAGGGCGGTGATGTCACCACAATTGTAGCCCCGCCCACTTCCTCCAGCCCCATAAGAGAATGTCACTAGCAGGGCGGTGATGTCACCACAATTGTAGCCCCGCCCACTTCCTCCAACCCTGTAAGAGAATGTCACTAGCAGGGCGGTGATGTCACCACAATTGTAGCCCCGCCCACTTCCTCCAGCCCCATAAGATAATGTCACTAGCAGGGCGGTGATGTCACCACAATTGTAGCCCCGCCCACTTCATCCAGCCCCATAGGATATTGTCACTATCAGGGCGGTGATGTCACCACAATTGTAGCCCCGCCCACTTCATCTAGCCCCATAGGATAATGTCACTAGCAGGGCGGTGATGTCACCACAATTGTAGCCCAGCCCACTTCCTCCAGCCCCATAAGAGAATGTCACCACAATTGTAGCCCCGCCCACTTCCTCCAGCCCCATAGGATAATGTCACTAGCAGGGCGGTGATGTCACCACAATTGTAGCCCCGCCCACTTCCTCCAGCCCCATAAGAGAATGTCACTAGCAGGGCGGTGATGTCACCACAATTGTAGCCCCGCCCACTTCCTCCAGCCCCATAGGATAATGTCACTAGCAGGGCGGTGATGTCACCACAATTGTAGCCCCGCCCACTTCCTCCAGCCCCATAAGAGAATGTCACTAGCAGGGCGGTGATGTCACCACAATTGTAGCCCCGCCCACTTCCTCCAGCCCCATAGGATAATGTCACTAGCAGGGCGGTGATGTCACCACAATTGTAGCCCCGCCCACTTCCTCCAGCCCCATAAACACCTCAGTTTCCCAGTCCGAGAAGTTCGGCTACAACGTAGCGATCACAAGCAGACTTCAATGTGAATAATAAAACGTTTAATGGTCTGTTTAACACTGTGGTCGTCAGAGGCAATTACAGTATAAAAAAAAAATAGTAATACAGTCATTAGAAAAATAGATTTTTTTTGTTTGTTACATTTACACGTGTCAGGTTGTTGTAACAAAAAAAAGCATAAAATGTATCAATCCAGGTATGCAAATTAGGCGAAGAGTTATTGTTAAGTTAACCGACACATTTGGCCTGGTCGTCTAGGTATCAGTGAGCTCAGGGAATGGGGTTAAAATGTAAGTAACATAGACAGCAATAAAAACCTTTCAGGAGTTCTAACACATACAAGCCAGCTGTCCCATGTTTGGCGAGACAGTCCTGCATCTTGGTCCTCTCTCCCACCGATGCCATGTCCCAGGCCAAGTACCAGGATCGAAGCATCAACCTAATTTGCACATGCACAGTACCTTAAAAAGGCATTCATTGCAGGAAACAAAGCCAGAAGTGGGTTGTCCCTGCATATTTAGAGGTGGGGTCTGGGTGGGATCAACCCATAAAGTAGGCAGGATGGGGGTTCACACCTATATACGTGGTTTTGGTGGGACCAATCCATAAAGTGGGTGTGATGGGCAGTCCATGCATATTTAGAGGCAGGGACCGGGTGGGATCAACCCATAACTTAGGCATGATGGAAGGGCCACATACATTTAGAGGGAGGATCTGAACCAACCCATAAAGTGTGAGGGATAGGTTGTCTATGGATATTTAAAGGTGGGGTCTGGGCTGGACCAACCCATAAAGTGTGCGGGATGGGTTGTCTACGCATATTTAAAGGTGGGGTCTGGGCTGGACCAACCCATAAAGTGGGCGTCATGGGGGTTCACACCTATTTACAGGTGGGGTTTTGGTGGGACCAATCCATAAAGTGGGTGTGATGGGCAGTCCATGCATATTTAGAGGCAGAATCTGGGTGGGATCAACCCATAAAGTGGGTGGGATGGGTTGTCTATGCATACTTAGAGGCGAGGTATAGGTGGGATCAACCCATAAAGTAGGCGTGATGGGGGTCTACACCTACTTAGAGGTGGGGTTTTGGTGGGACCAGTCCATGAAGTGGGTGTGATGGGCAGTCCATGCATGTTTAGAGGCAGGGACCGGGTGCGATCAACCCTTAACTTAGGCATGATGGAAGCTCCACATATATTTAGAGGGAGGATCTGGACTGGACCAATCCATAGAAGTGGGCAGGATAGGTTGTCCATGCATATTTAGAGGTGGGGTATATTGGGGGATCAGCCCATAAAGTGGGCGTGATGGGGGTTCATGCCTATTGTCCAGGGTCCAGGTAGGATCAACCCATAACTTAGGCATGATAAACGCTCTACACATATTTAGAGGGGGGATCTGGACTGAACCAACTAATAAAGTGGGCAGGATGTGTTGTCCATACATACTTAGGTGGAGTATGGGTGTGACCAACCCATAAAGTGAGTGTGATGATGGGTGGTCTACATATATTTAGAGGTAGGGTCTGGGCAGGACCAACCCATAAAATGGGCGTGATGGGGGTTCACACCTATGTACAGGTGGGGTTTTGGTGGGACCAGTCCATGAAGTGGGTGTGATGGGCAGTCCATGCATATTTAGAGGCAGGGTCTGGGTGGGATCAACCCATAACTTAGGCATGATGGAAGGGCCACATATATTTAGAGGGAGGATCTGGGCTGGACCAATCCATAAAAGTGAGTGGGATGGGTTGTTTACGCATATTTAGAGGTGGGATATAGGTGGGATCATACCTAGGGGGGGGGGATCTGGACCAATCCATAAAGTAGGCAGAATGTAACTTTTTAGTTTAGTAAAGAGTAAGGAAAGAGTAGGGAACGCTTGTTACTAAGAGTGACTAAGTCTCCATCTACAGTAGAGTGAGTCCCTATGCTTCAGGCTAGGTCTATCTTCAGCTCTGCTTGCTCCGTATCTAGTAATTCTGTCCCCCCCACCCCTGGCCCAGGTCCGTGGGACCTACTACATCTTACCTTCTACATCTCACGGGGTATAACTCTAACTATGGTGACCACACATACATATGACACCGCACATCGCTAAGTCCCACCCATCTGCTCTGCCAAAATGCAAATGAGCTCCCTCCTCTGTATGATTTTCTGCAGGTTACGTCTGGATGAGAAACCCATCGTCACGTTTGACTCGTTCTACGATCACTTCAAGCTGGAAGAGAATACAAACCCTCCAGACTGGCTGGACCCCATGAAGAGGAAACAGAAAGCAGCTGTGAAGACCGCCCACGAGGTTCACCTGGAGCTCAGGGACATGGCCAATAACAGGTGACAAGGAGGCTCATGCGATGTGTCTGTGAAGGTTCTTATGTATCCAGGTCAGGGTATAGCTAGTAATAGTCACATTTAGCTGGACTTGTTCTGTAATGTTGGGCAGATAGGAGAGTAGAAGGGTCACAAGAGGTGCGAAAGAGCCCATCTACGTCCATCTGGAACAACCGTCATCAAGCCGGGTCATCAAGGTCCGGGAACGATGAATGGAAGGTACTACAAGTCCCATCTGCCACCGCAGCAGAAGGACTTAGCAGTACGTGCTAGCAGCAGGGTGAGGTCCCCACAATTGTAGCCCCGCCCACATCCTCCAGCCGCCTAGCA